ATATTACTGTTAAATATTTTTACCATTACTGCCTGTGTCATAGTATTGTACATATTCAAGTAGAGGGTTGCCTCTTCTGTTATTATAATGTCTTTGAGGATAAGGCCTGGCTTTTCCCCAAGTATGTTCCCTACACAATCTCCAGCATGTGCCATGGACCAGGTATTTCCACAGGTATTTGTTGAGTGTGTTAATAAAATATTCAGATTCCTCTCTGCACATAAATATTTCAGAGCTTCAAAACTTAGAGAGTAGTTTTAGAAGATGTCTAAGGGAGAGGATCCTATCATTTCAACATTTAGGGGCAAGTCCAGAGATTTCGTTAACATAGAAGTTAAGAAGTTTGCGTCTACATGAAACAGTATTCTGAAAGTGTTATTGCCTCTTCCCTTTTCATAAGAGTTTTCTTTCTTCTTTTCTTTTTTTTTTTCTTTTTTTTTAGGGAACAGTGTGTTTTTCCAGGACCCATCAGCTCCAAATCAAGTAGTTGTTTCAATCTAGTTGTAGAGGGCGCAGCTTATTGGCCCATGTGGGGATCAACTGGCAATCTTGCTCTAACCAACTGAGCTAACTGGCTGCCCCTAAAAGACTTTTTTTTTGAAAGATTTTTTTTTAACTGGGGAATTGGGGGAAGGGGAACAGACAAGTTGCTGTCGTTTTGTTCTTCAGTCTAGTTGTGGAGGACGTTGCTTCACTGGCCCAAGTTGGCACCATCATTGTGCTCTTCCCGGGTGAGGCAGATCAGTCGCCGGCTTCTGGACGGCCGCTCACTGCAGCTGCTGGCCGCTCACGCTGGCTGCTGGCTACACACGGTAGCTCATGGCAACCCACTGCCACAGGGGCTGCAGCCTACGCTGTCGCTGGCGACCCACGGCAGCCCAGCTCCAGGTTGAGCTGTTGTTCAGCATCTTAGCTGTAGAGGGCAGTGTCACTGGCCCTCATATGTGGGATCCGAACCAGGGTCCTCTGGCGTCCCAAGCCAGTTCTTAACCATCACGCCACTCGGCCGGCCCTAAAAGACTTTTATTTTTAAATGAGGATGAGAACTAATAGTTTTTAGAACCTTTGACTCTCAGAAAGGTTAAGAACATGCCTTGTGTTCATACATCTTGCTAGTGATGGAGTCAGGGTTCAAACCTGAGTGTGGATGATTGTTCTTTTTGCTGCTAAAGTCAAGTGGAAGGGAAGGCTGTATTCACTGACTTCATAAGTGAGCCTTGGAGACGACATAAAGGAAGAGATTTCCAGTAGTCCTCTCCTTCAGCAGTGCTTCACTTTGCTGAGCCCATTCCCTAGCTTTTTAAACTTCTTTCAAAACCCAGGAATGATAAACTTCTTTCAATGTATTAGGAGTATGAGGGAAAGTATAATGACATGATCATTTTGTATAACTTAAGCCTTTGCTTCTGAGATTAAGGCCATCTAAAATTCTTAAATAAGAGAATCATAATGGCCTAAAATGTTCCCTTTGTGATATTTAGTAATATAGCCTCTCTTTACGCATAACTCATTTCAAATAAACATTAGTGATTATCTAATATAGGATCAATGACATTGCATTGTTCCAGATCAATTACATTATAAGATATAATAATGAGGTCATGGCATTTCAAGTCATATGTTTGCAGGTATGTACCATTTTAGAAAACCCGAAGTATGAAAATCCCCAAAGCCTCGATAAATTGGAGGATTGCATAAATTCAAGTTCAGAATAGTTCTTCATGTTCCAAAATGATTGATCACTGGGGTTCTTTAAACAGGAAGGCATAACTCGTGTTCATTTGGCAGAAGAAACTTTGTACTCTATCTGGAAAATTTCTCCTCCTCAATGTAATGCAAGTATTCCAGAGGGATATGTATTAGAGAGTGACATATAGTAACTAACCAGGTCAGCTGTCCCAATCAATTCTGTAACCCAGTGGGGGTGGGGATCAGGAGGGGTGCTATATCAGAATGAGTGGTCCAGGAAGACTTCTCTGCATAGGTTATATGTGAGCTAACAGCTGAGTAGAATAAAGCCTGAATAAAGCTGAAGGAGCTAGCCTTTTGAAGACCCCTTGGAAGAATGCTGCTGGAAGAAAGCTCAGCAAGCGAGGTCTCTCAGGTCAGAACAAGATTGGTGGATCAAGGAACAGAAAGGCCAGGCTGTCTGGAGGGCAGTAAACTAGGTGGAGTGGGTCACAATGAAGTCAAGAGATGTGAACGAGGGCCAGATCAACCAGCACCATAACAAGTGCATATAAATTACCTAACTTGGAGCTTCAAATGTTTTAAGAGCTTAATAAATGGAATATCTTAGTCATTAGAGAGCATAGTGTTTTATTCATAATTCAATTTTTAAAAAAAATAGGAGTAGCTTTATTTCTTATAATGAATTGAAATGAACACTTAGAAAATACTTGTGAAATTTGAAGCTCATATTTTCACTAACCCTGAAAAATTTAAATTCTATTAAAAACATAAGAGTTATTTTCTAATTGTAATGGCTGCTAAAACTATTTTTATGGAATTTGTCTTACAAATATTTGTTTGTTGTTTCTAGCCTAGATTTATGCTGAGAGGCTATTTTGTCCCAATTCTCAACCATGAGACCCCTCAATCCCAAAAACATTTTCCTGAAATTCATTCAATTTTTGTAGTTTATTTTTAATCAATCTAGAATTTACTTATAAATATTATGTGAGTTAGAGATTGTGGTAGGCTGAATGATGACTCCCAATATATAGCTAAATCCTAATTCCTGGAAACTGTGAATATTACCTTATATGGCAAAAGTGACTTTGCAGATGTGATTAAATTGAGGACTTTGAAATGGAGAGATTATCCTGGATTATCTGGGTGGGCCTTAAATGTATTCACAAGTGTCCTTATAAAAGGGAGGCAGAGGGAGATTTGACACAGACTGGAGAAGGCAATGTGAAGACAGCAGAGAGAGATTTAGAGATGCTATTCTGTTAGCCTTGGAAGGTGGAAGAAGGGGCCGCAGCCAAGGAATGCAAGGAATACAAGGAATGTAGCTTTGGAAGCTAGAAAAAGCAAGAAAGGGCTTCTCCACTAGAGCCTCTGGAAAAAATGGCCCTGCCTATACCTTAGATTGTGCACCTTACTTTTGAACTTCTGGACTCCGGAAATATGGGAGAATAAATTTATCCTTTTTGAAGCCACCAAAATTTGCGGTAATTTGTTACGGCAGTCATTGGAAACTAATACAGACATCTAACTTTATTTTTTTGTCACATAGTTAACTAATTAATTGCTCTAGTACAGTTTATTGAATAATACATTATTTCCTAAATGATCTGAAATGACATACCTGCATATAGTTGAGTGTGTTTCTATTCTGTTCTACCAATCTATTTACTCTTGATAAAATACTAAACTTTTAAATAACAATAACTTTATAGTACTTTTAAATGAGTGGTAGGGTAATTTCTTCATCATGCTATACATTTCTTTTTTAAAATTTTTTGCTTTCAGCTGCATTTATTCTTTCAGGTGAACTTTAGATTAAATTTGTCAGTGGAAAAAAAGTTGAATTTTGACTGAAACGGCATTAAATATATAGATTCACTTGAATATTTCTATCCAGTAACAGACTATCTTTTCATATTTCACATATCACCCTCCATATTTAAACTATAAAACGTCACAGTTTTTCTTCACTTAGGTCTTATACAGTTCTTAAGGCTTATTTCCTAAGGCTTATTTGTTCTACTGTGGAATAGGATCTTTTTAAAATTACATTTTCTAATTAGATATCATTGGTGTGTCAGAGTGCTATTTTTTTTTTTTTGCCTCTGGCAACTCTGCTTAATCAATTTAAAGTCTAATAATTTTCTCTTAGATTGTCCAGCAAGACAATCATATCATCTATAAATATTATAATCTTTCTCTTCTTTTTCACTACTTATTTTTCTTGTCCTATTGTATTAGCTAGAATCTATAGAACAGTGTTAAATGATAATGGTGTTAATGGGCATTTCAATTGGAATGCCTTTAATGTTTTATTACTAAATATGAATCTTTAAGGGCCAGCTGAGTTGGTTAAGACCTGGCTCAAGAGTGTGAGCTCTGAGCAACTAGCAGTTCGATTCCCAGCCTGAGCTGAGCTGCCACTGAGCTGCCAACAGGTAGCAGGATGGCTCAGCTAAAAAAAAAAAAAAAAAAAAAAAAAAAAAAAAAAAAGATGCTTTACATAGTATATTTTGTGGAGGAATTTTAACATTTCATATGTATGTATGTGTATATATATCTTTATATATGCATAAGAATGGTAAGAATATTTCTATTTCTAGGTTACTAAGTATTTCTTTAAATCAGAAGCTGATGAAGTGTTATTAATTTCCAATATTTATTAATATATATTATATAGTTATATTAAGTATAAGTTTCTTAATGTTGAAAAATTCCTTTATTATATAAAAAACTATTGGGTAATTTTAATGTTTGCATTTTATATTTAGTATTTTATTTAAAAAGTCAATAGCTTTCTTTTTTTGTATTAAAAAAATTCAGACTTGAATATCAGTAAAACGCAGCGGAAAGGTTTCATTAAAGTGGAGGTATGGGATTAGGATTGCCTGGAATGAATGTGAAAGGAAAGCAACACTGGCTGGAAGGAAAAGAGCAGAAACCAGTCTAAAAACGAAAAGCGATCCTGATATGCTTAGGAAAGTTGATCTGGTGTGTTAAATGGCGTTTCAGAAGAAATCTGAAAGCTACTGATTTACAGCAGGAGTCAAGCAAAGAGGCGTCGGGGCTTGGGGGAACCTTCTTAAGGCATCAAAATGGGTGCAATGGGTACCTCTCTTCTATGAAACTTTAAAAGCCAAAAGTCCAGTTTTCGGCACGCGCAGGGCCTCCCCAAGGCACAGAATTAGATCCAAGCCTTTCAGCTACCTCAAAAACCTGGAGAAGGTAAATCCAGGCCGGCGCTGGAATGGCCGGCGGTGGGCTCCGGCCAGCTTGCACACTGGGCATGCGCAGGGGGTGGACCGCCAGGTCGGCTTAAGGAGCCGTGACGAGTCCGGAAGCGCCTGCGCGCGCCCCTCCGTACGAGAACTAGTTTTGTTCCGTGTCTTTCGAACTGGAGCTGTTTGTAGAGGACCTCCGGCAGGACCAACCCAAGACCCGCCAGCACTGCAACAATGTCCAGCAACAGCTTCGCTTACAATGAGCAGTCCGGGGGAGGGGAGGCGACGGAGCTGGGTCAGGAGGCGACCTCAACCATTTCCCCCTCCGGCGCATTCGGCCTCTTTAGCAGCGATTTGAAGAAGTGAGGAGGAGGGTTTGGGATGCGGGGACGGGATTGAGGAGCTGGGGACCCTGGAGTGGCGGGCACCAGGCTCGGGCTCCCGGAAGGGGGGTGGGATCGTCCTGAGACTTCTCCGAGGCTGCTGGGTGGTAACGTTGCCCGCAGGTGGGTGGGGTTTGGTCATTTGAGAGTGGTGAGAGTTGATGGGGATTTGGGGTGAGCGTGTGTAAGGGTCTCTAGTGGCTTCAAACTTTAGTGCAAGAACCATTTGGAGAGCTTACGTCTCATCCCCAGCGACTCTGATTGAGTTGGTTTGGGGAATAGGAATCTGAATTTTGAACCAACACTTCTAGCTAATTTAATGTTTGCTGGATCAAACATGGAGAAATTCGCAATTGGGTGAAAGAGTGTTTGGGGAGTTGAATGGGAGGGTTGGAGTGTGAGTGTTGCTTATGGGAAACCATTCTGTGACCCTGGAGTGTAGGAGAAAGGAGGTGTTCAGGCACTTTATGAATGGACACATTAGTTTACACTAATTTATTAGTGTTCTTGGACAATATCCTTTGCACTACAGACCAAAAAAAAAAAAAGAAAAAAAAAAAGAGAAAAACCCGAAAAACAAAAAGAACCCCCCCCAAAAAAACCAAAAACAACCGGGTTCCAAATTAAATAATAAGCGTATGAGTAGAGAATATTTAGCGTTACTATTTGCAAATCCTAAAATTTTATAAATTAATGTGAATTTTTAAAACAAACACCAAACAGGGTGCTCTTAGTTTTTAAAAATTTGGTAAGAATATTTTAAGTATCACCAAAAAAATGTAATGAAAACACCCCAAATTGGTTTTTTTTTGGGGGGGGAGCGTTAAACTTACAGAATCCTGATAAGATTTATATTTTATTGTAATTATTTTTACATTTTTCTTATTTTTAATCTCAGCACTAAACAATATGGTCACATAATGGGTTCTCAACACATTCATGCTAAATTAAGGTAATGCACTTGTGCTTGTTGCTTTGCAGTTGTCAGAAGGGTATAATTAAATTTTAATATACATTTTACTAACAAGATTGGGCAGTCTGGAAAGTGCTAGTAGTTGAAGTTTGGATTAAATTTTGACTATTAAGCTTTTGAAATCTTATATACGTATTGTGGAATACAGTGTTTTTCCTTATTCTCAGGTTAGAGAAGTGTAAAAGTAAAATAACATTTCATTTTTCATTCTGTGCATTAAATGATGGATTGTTCTAACAAGGGGCTTGTTTGCAGCTCTACAGCTCTATTGGCAAAATGTTTCAACTGTTGAATTAACCTGTATATCTGCATCAGTCTGTTTTGCATGTGATTTGCTTACAATTAATTTATTTTTATGGTTTGTGAACATCTAAGGTATTTTTCTCTCAGAGCCCCTGATTTCCTGTTTTGTCAGATTTGGGTCTGATTTGGAAAAAAATGTATGGCTTTGACTATGAGCAGCGAGCTGTTGAGGTGACTGAGCAGGTTGTATTTAAAATAAAAATAGCCAACATTGAGTGCTTGTGCATTTGTGCTCAGTCCCCCTAACAACCATATGGCTTGTTACCAGATGTTGTACTTCTCTGATCCCACTTTGCAGGTTAGGAAATTGGAGCACAAATGGTGAACTTGCTCACAGTCACAAAGCCAGAACACTATGCTATCTGAATTTGAACCTAGACATGCTTATCTTAGAGCCTATTCTCTAGCGCTTGGATGTGCTACTTTCTACCTGATGAAATTTATGGTGCTTTTATTAGAGAATGCATACAACTCATTAAAAGTTTAAAACTTTGAATAGTAGCTGTAAACACTATTATGGCCTTGAAGCTTCCAGGAATTAGAAACATTTTGGCCATTGAACTGCAACCTAATGAATGGGGTTGTACAGAATGAGACCCCTGTTCTGGAAGTAGTCACTTATTCTTTCTTGATCCTATATTCTCTCATTTATAAAATGGTGATATTTCTTGCATTTAAAAAAAACAAAAACAAATGACAAAATTTATGTAAAAAACTTAAAGCTTACCTTGTTCCTCTGCTCTTATTTTTGACGGTTTACTTTGAAATAGTTTCAAGTTACAAAATTGCAAGTATACGCACAACTACCCTTTATGTACTCACCAATTTAAAAAATGTTTACTACATTGCTTTGTTTTTGCGTCTGTCTCCCTACACACATGGACACATACACACATTCATATTTTTATTTTTTCTGAACCATTGGAGAAGAGGTTGTATATATCATGTCCCTTTACTCTTAATACCTTAGTGTGTATTTTTTAAGAACAAAGATCGTCTTACACAACCATAGTAGTTATATTCAAGAAATTTAACATCAGTATAATCTGCAATATAATTAGTATGATCCAGTGTTGTCTCTTGTTCCAGTAATTTTTTATTTTAGCAGTTTTTTCCCTCTAGTACAGGATTCAGTCCAGGATCATGTATTTCATTTAGTTGTCTAATCTATTTAATCTGGAATAGTTCCTTAGCCTTTGTCTTTTACTACCTTGACACATTTGAAGAATGTGAGCCAATTATTTCGTAGCGTATTAATCAATTTGGATTTACTGGTGTTTCCTCACGTTTAGATTCACATTATGTATCCCTGGCCAGAGTATTACCACAGGTGATGTGGCCTTCTCAGACTATTGTATCCAGAGGCATAGGATGTCCATCTTCATGATAATTGTCTGGTTGTCCATTATTTCTTTTTTACCTATAACCTATCTATGGGGGGACACTTTGAGACCATGCAGATATCTTGCTCCTCATTAAATCACCACCCCCTATATTTAGCAAGCATTGATGAATCTCCTGAACCAGTCTTTGCCACAGTGGCTGCAGAATGTTGATATTCCAACTCCGACTCCTATTCCACTCTTTGGCCTCTTGTCCTGGAGCCCTGTGACCTTTGATCCTTCCCTAACCCTCTCAAGGATGCCTAATCACTTCCTACTCACAGGATTATTGATGATTTTGTTTTCTGAATTTAATCTTACTTATCAGTCTTATTTATTCCCACTCCCCTTTAAACAAAACCAAAATTAGGGAGTTTTACTCCCTAATTTTAGGGAAGATCCTATATTTCATTTATTGGTTAATCAGCCTGTGTATTAGATTGTTGGCTTCACGATTTTCAGTTTCTTCATTTAAAATGTAAAGAATTAATTTTTTGTATTCCTTATTTTATTTTATTTTATTTAAAGATTTTTTATTGGGGAATTGGGGTATGGGAACAGCGCTGGGGAATCCGGGGAAGGAGAACAGACAAGCCATCGTCCTTTTTGTTCTTCAGTCTAGTTGTGGAGGACGTTGCTTCACTGGCCCAAGCTGGCACCATCATTGCGCTCTTCCCGGCCGACGCAGATCAGTCGTCGGCTTCTGGACGGCCGCTCACAGCGGCTGCTTGCCGCTCATGCTGGCTGCTGGCTACACACGGTAGCCCATGGCAGCCCACTGCAGCAGGGGCTGCAGCCTACGCTGTCGCCGGTGACTCACGGCAGCCCAGCTCCAGGTTGAGCTGTTGTTCAGCATCTTAGCTGTAGAGGCAGCGTCACTGTCCTTCATATGTGGGATCCGAACCGGGACCCTCTGGTGTCCCAAGCAGCTCTTAACCAACACGCCACCCGGCCAGCCCGTATTCCTTATTTTTTGAGACTGTTGTAAATTTTTATTGCTTTTAGTTTTTTTCTACATTATTTTCCTTTGTCTTAAACAAGTTCTTTTTGGTTTTTTTTTGTCTTTACCAACTGGCTGTGAGTATAATTTAAAAAAAATATTTAATTTTATTTCTGGATTAAATAATTAAGAATTAATTTCTAGAAAGAAACAGTCAGGACTAATTCATTTTTCTTAATACTACTACTAAATCTCCTGATTTCTTTTAAGAGCATCTCAGTGTATTAGAGTGAGAAGACCTGGATATAAGTTAATAATGGTTTCTACTTGTAGTAATGTTTCCATATTCAAGTTATTTGATCTTTTCAAGCTTCACTGTCTTCATTTCTAGAAAGGGTATGATAATACTTGCCTATTTTGTGAGGTTCTGATAAGATGGTGTAGTTAAAAGTGATTTCTAAACTAGCAAATTAACTAACACTATTTGGAAAAGTTGGTGAAAGTTTCACTGAGGTGGTGACAGCTTAGGTTTTAAAGCCTGAGAAGGTTTTTACCAGGTGGAGGAAAGGGGGAGTTCTTCAGACAAAGCGTGTAGAAACCAGGAGAGCTGCAAAAGAAAAGGCACGTTCAGCTGAGATACAGATTAGGGCATCAACATGTGGAATTGTGGGTAGTAATCAAAGCACAGGAATGGATGAAATCATCCTGGGAGAACTTTCCTTGTTAGAGGAGAAGGCTGTTTACACAAGTCCCTAGGCAACAGCAGAATTTTAGGTGTGAATAGAAAAAGAACTAGGGAGAGAGAGTGCTCACAGGGGTAGGAAACCAGAGGAAGCTTGAAAAAAAAAAGGAAGCTAAGAGGAAAGTTAGTAAGAGAAAACAGTCAACTATATTAGGAGTCGCGTAGTGAGGAAAAATAAGAATAAAGGCTGAAAAGAGGCCTTCGGTTTAATAATTAAAAGGTGAGCTTAGCAACCAGTGACTTAGCAGTGCAGGACTACATGACACAGTGAAATGTAGCATTTTTAGTCCCTGATGAAATTGGGGTGGACTTTTCATTTGTTTAGATTCACAGAGCCTATTTAGACCAAAACAAAGGGCTGCATGCTTTCCTGTAGTCATACTATATCATGTAATTATTATATAATCAAACTACATTAGTATATTGGTATTACATTCATAAAGCCAGTTTGTTTTAACTTAAATTTTGTTATTGTCAAATTTACATCAGCCATGAAAATTACACTACCTATAACCCTTAACCTTTACTATCAGTGTTTCTCAGTGGAGTCCACTAGGAAGATTGCATGGGTCTGTGGTTTGTATACAATTACAACAGATCTAACTATAGCTCCATCCCACTTTTTCAAGGATACAGAAG